CCAAAGTTGGTAAATCCAGTCAGTAATTAAACTGAGACTCCATGCCATATTTCATTATAACTTGTTTAGGGGAAATCTCTTAAGTAAAAGAAAAAAATTTGGAATTACTAGCTTGCTCAAGGTATTTCCCTCCTGTCACTTCCAGCATGCAATTTAAATCACCTTCTCTTTAACCAGATTGTGAATTTCTCTCTGCATAATGTTTTTAGCATGAGATTAAATCAGTGTATAAAATTGAATATTCTCATCAGCATAGGAAACACATGAAACTACCACATGATTCAAAATCTGTATGTGGAGAAGCATCAGGATCAGATATTTAATCCAATTAGTTTAAACACTGAATGATGAAACATCATGGACACTCAGGGTCAGTCATATCTTCATCAATTTGTATAGGCATTAAAATGAAGCTGAAGGCACAAGAGACACTACATATGGAAACTTTGTCTAGGAAAATGAATCTCTTCAGAACAGAAGGAGTGATGGTAGGTGGATGGCATTGTGTCAGAATGAGTGGGTCATTCAGATTCCTGGTAGTTGGTATGTGTAACTGTATTGGGTTTGGGTGGCCAGGGTTTTGTAGCAGGGGGCTATGGGTTGGCTTCTATGAGAAGCTTCCAGAAGCTTCCCCTATGTCCAATACAGCCAATGCCAGCCAGCTCCAAGATGGACTGTCCACTGGCCAAGGCTGAGTCCATCAGCAACAGTGGGAGTACCTCAGGGATAATGCAGTGAAGAAGAGGAAAATAAACCTGTGAAATTGCAGCCAGTGAGAATGAGAATGTGTGAGAGGAACAGCTCTGCAGACACCACAGCCAGTGAAGAAGGAGGGGGAGGAGATGCTCCAGGCTGCAGAGCAGAGATTCTGCTTCAATTCATGGTGCAGACCATGGTGAGGCAGGCTGTCTCCCTGCAGCCCATGGACATCCATGGTGGAGCAGAGACCCACCTGCAGCCCCTGAAGGATCACACAGCAGAGCAGGTGGGTCTCCAAAGAAGGCTGGGACCAAGATATTCTGAAACATTTTAAGGTGCAGCTTACACTATCTCTGAAATATATGAGCAGCTCTTAATGCTTTTCATACAGGTTGGGAACCAAAAAAGAGAGAGGGGTAAACATCATATCATGTGTGGCATAGATAAGGAAAGAAGTTCAGTTTTCAGATGTCAGGTTTCCCTACTCCAGAGGATAGTAGTGTTGTGTTGCGAGAAGGCTCTTTCTATTTCTGGGGGATTGTCTCACCATTCAGAGGGTTTATTTGAGTTCTTGCTCAGCCTCAAAAGGTATTTGTGACCTCAGAACAGCCTTCCTTTTTCCTTTGCATTTCTGTCTTCTTACATAAATGAGGTAGGTGGTAGGTTTTCACTTCACGGAATATTAGGATTCAAAAAAGCAAAACAAAGCAAAGCCAGATTGTTAATAATTTTTACACAATTTGCATATTAGAAAAACAAATAAGCATACAAGAGAAAGGGAAGAAGAGAATTATTTCCCAATAAACAAGGAGCAAATCTGAGAGATCGAGATTTGTCCTTCGTAACAGTTTTGTCTCCACGAAGACAGAAATGACAGATCACTGCGTGGCCCTCAGGTGAAAGCAAGCATTGAAATTGTAATAGTTTCCTTTTCTATTAGCTGTTGAAAAAGAAGCGTAGCAAAGAACATAATCTAACTTCAGTTTAATAACAAAAATTGTCATCAGACAGCAGTGCTTGCCAACGGAAACAAAATGTCATCTCTGAAGGGACTGTTTGCATGAGTCTGTCACAAGAAGTCCCAGGAGAGAGGAAGCTTTTAGAACAATAACAAAATACCATCCTGGGTTTAAAAAATATCCATACGAGCACTATAATTGCTAAATGGGGAAAAATAATCCCAGCTCTATCATAACTGATACTTGACAAAACCCTAGCCTTCAAATGCTTCTTTTTTTCTGGTCCAACTGAATAAACTCGGTTTAAAAATTAATGATACTTAGAATAAAACATCTGAAAAAGTCCTTACTGCAAAGGATATTTTTGGGGGAGTGTGAGGATGTGATATATAAAGTGGGGAATTCCCCCTTTGCTAAAGAGACACTTGTGCTGCTGTAAGTCAGTAAAGGCCGAGGCTGGTGCTGAGATAATGGTAGAGGAAGAAAAGCCTTCTAAAGCCTGGTTGTTAAAGTGTCTCATCAAAGACAATGAGAGCTTTGGGCATGGGTTCCCAGGGAGCTGATATTTCCCTTTGAGAGCTGCTGCCTTTTCTCACATGCTGTCTCCAGCACACTGGGCACTGACTTCTAATTTGACACAGCCCTGACAGTGGAATTGCTGTACTCATTTCCATCATTTGAAACAAATTTATAAAGTCTTGTATTTCTCCAGTTTTTGCCTGAATCAGGTCTTATTTAGGGCACAGATTAAGAGAAAGCAGGGTTCCTTGGGTGCTGGTGCAGCATCACACCTTCTTTTCTTCTGGGGGGAGTTGTCAGCTGCACCAGGTAAACAGCCTGTCTGAAGGGTCGTGCTGGAAGAGCCAGAGGGAAGTTGTGTGGCTGGGGCTGTCCGACCACCTGGCACTGCAGTGGGACTGCAGGCACGGAGGATGCCACCCAAAAACAGAGAAAGCTTTTGCAGGCTGTAATTAATTCATTTGGGATGCTGTTACTATCACCAGCAAATTCAGAGAGGGGATAACCTGCTCAAAGTTGTGGTCAGGGAAACTGTGGAGTGATAAGGGCAAGAGATAAAAAAAAAAGGGGGGGGGAAACAAGATTTAATGTGATGACTTCAGCCATCTGAACATCAGTGTACTGAGAAAGCTTATCTCCTGTGTATCCCTGGTCTGGAAACAGAGGTATTTGCCGAGTTGTTTGGTTTGCTCACTGGTCTTAATTAAAGGATGATCTGAGCTTTATTAAAACTTAAATTACAATACGTCAAAGACATTACTTGGCACAGAAGAAGCTACTTTTCCATGAAAGGGAAAACATTGACATCAGAGACACGAGTGATAATAGCTTATTGTTATTATGCTTTTATTTTTTGCTGCAGTTACAATAGCAGGTCTAGAAATGGATTTTGACTGTGAAGGAGGGAAAATACCTCCTATAATGGTAAAGTTCTTGAATAGGTGACCTCAAATCACTTCAAATTGTTAAATGTTTGAAAAGTTTTTCTTTAATTTTCAAACTTCAAATTTTTCTTAAGTTATAGTTAGGGTTTCCTAGTTTCAAGACAAAATTTATCCTCAAACTTTTCTTAAGTTATAGTTAGCGTTTCCTAGTTTCAAGACAAAATTTATCGAAAATATTCTACTTAAGGAAAAATTACAGACTCACTCCTGGAGTTTTAAAAGTGGATGCATTTCTAGCCACAAAACTATTTTCCCACTTCTTACGCTCATTATCTTCTATCCCCTCCACCTACTTCTCTCCATCTTCTCTGACAGTGTTCAAGAGTAAGGGAGATGCAAGAGAGGTATATTTTAACTTTCATATTTTAAAGCAAGTTTTAATATATGACAGTTGACTGTTTACCAAAAAGCTACTGCAATTAGTTTCTCCATATCCTTCAAAGTTTTTAGAATAGGAACTCTGAGAGATGCTAGGGTTTGGATTTTAGAGTGGATAGCCACATAAGAAGTAGATCTCAAGGTTTTTTACATCCCAGTCTCATCTTTCTTAAAATACATTCAAATCATGAATGATGAACCCAAAACTTTAAAATCACTGTTTTTCCTTCTCAGTTACTCACACAGGCATCCATCTTTCTCTTCGCTGCCAATCCACTGCCACTGTGTGTTCCAAAAAAATTTGTCAAGGTTTGCACATAAAGATTCAGATTGTTGCATTTTATGCAAGATACCTAAAGTGGTGTCATGAAAATGGAGATCACAGGTCAAAAAAGGGGTCCAACATCTGCCTTGCCAGAAAAGGGGACTGACCAAGTCCACCAAGCAAAGAAAAGAGGGGAAATAGGATCAATCTGCAAGAAACGTATGAGGCTGACTGCCTGTCAGTCCTTCCATATGAGAAACTTGAAGCCAAATAAAGCAAAAGAAATACAGAAACCAAGTGATCCTTCCCTCTACTGGCCTTCTGAGAATTACCTGATGGCAGCATTTACAGAGAGCAGCTGTTTGTAAGTGCTCTATAACAGTAACATTTGTATATCATTCCACAAAGATATGTCAAAGTATTTATCATGCCTGTAACATGCCTTTTTGCCGACCTTTCTCAGCCTGGTTTGATATTTATCATGGAAAGATTTTCTGAAATGATTGATGTATTTGGATATCGTTTGCGTAACCAGACTGGGAGAAGGTGTCACGTTGTTTTGAGGATGACAAGAGCAGAGGGAGAATCACAGGTTTCCGTGGTACAAGTAACTTGTGCTATTTAAACTCATCCAGTCCTGCAAGAGAAGTCTAGACATGTTAGAACATTTTCTGGTGCCAGATTGAAAGCTCTCTAAGGATGCCACTGGTAACGGGAAGGAATAACATAATATTGAGGAACGCAACTGTTTACATCTGTTAGAGCTAGGCTGGGACATTAGGCTGGAATGTTATGCTGCACACTTGGTGTCTACCATGATTTCAAAGAAGCAAAAAGGCAACCTTCCCATACTGCATTAATTTTATTGCCTAGGAGTGCCACAAGTTCAAAGAAGCAGAAAGGCAACCTTCCCATACTGCGTTAATTTTATTGCCTAGGAGTGCCACAAAGTGCTAGATAATGAATTTCCATTCATGGCAGGTTGTTGGGTCTACCCATCCAGTGATTACATTCAGGTAATACCAGTTGTGTCCTGTATCACACATCTGTTTTTTATTGGCCCATGCCAATAAAAAGTACCACAGACACTTTTCAGCTGTCCCAGGTGTGTCCCTTTGAAACTGGAAGAAGTAAAAGTCCAAATCGGTCTCAGAAGTGATAAAGGGTTTTTCAGGCTAATTTCTCTGATATCTTTGTGTTTTACTGTGATTCATGACTGTTTGTTTTTGTCCCCAGTTATTCAGTTCAGTGGAGTTTGGCAGAAGATGGCTGCTTCTTCACGAGGGTGTTGCACCAAACAGGTTCTACTGGTAAGAGCGAAAACCTCTTCCTCATTTCCTAGACACAACTTATCCATACATACAGAGATGTTGAAACGATGTTTTGAAGGCAATGTGGCTGAATGCAATCTGCACTGCTGATTTGTTGAGATTCATTTAGAACTGGTGTGAAAGGGGCATTATGTGTTTATACAAAACTTGAAAATTAGGTCTTTGATCTAAGGATGTTGCACAACTGAAATGTAGCAAATAATAGTCTGAAGAAAGCATCAGTTTTGGAGGGGAAAGTGAAGAGTTCAGTCTGGTCCTGCTGCAGTTAAGGGCTAAAGCTTGAAGTCTTGCAGGATACTAGCATTTCTGCCACAGGTAGCAGTAGATATCTTCTGATGGCTGCTGTTATGCTTTTAACTACTGTTAGACCTACTTAGTCCTTGAAAGTGAGCAAGTTAATGACCATTGAGCTAGGCACACCCAGTTCTTCATTATGAGCGTTAATCACTCTGCAGTATTGCAGCTAAGCAGCAGTGCAGTGTTTCCAGTCAAATTACAAGCTGCATGAATCAGCCATGTGTAAGTTCCTCATGTTGTATGTCAGTTGGTTTACAGCAGTGGCAAACCACTTTCAAATTTGATGCCAATACAGAAGTATCATAGCTCTTCGTCAGAGGTGCAAGCTGAACTCTTTGCGGTCTTAGTGTATGCTATATAATTTGTATCTAAATTCACTTAAGGCCATAGCCTACATGGTCGTGATAGAATCTGAGCATCTCACAGTTTTTACTGTATAGGACATCTGTAATGGATCATTTGATTTCAGATACAAACACTTCTTGTGGCCATGGCCACTGAAAATTAACCCCTGGATGTAGGTCCAAACTTTATTCTGGAGTTCTTCACTACTAGCAAATTGTCTTTGTATTTTGAATCTCATCCCCTTCGGTTTTAGTCATCAGATTTATCTGGTGATTCAGGTGTACTGATGCTCTTCTCATGGTTCTGATTGCAGGCATATCCCTTTTCATTTTTTTCCATAGCGATGATTTGCAGAGAGAGTGTAAAGCTCTGTAACCATGCTTAAAGTAAAATACAGGTCTGAAACACCTCTATGCTGTCAGTAGACAGCAATTAGTGTAACTTTGACTTACATGGAAAAAAAAAGGTGAAGAATGAAGGAGGCACTGGACTTTTTTCCTGCAAATATAGTTATATAGTCCAAATCAAAGATAAGGTTCTTCTTGTTTTGGTTTACTTCTCTTTTTGTTTACACTGCTGTAAATCTGTAAGACTTCTAATCAACTCTTTATGGAAGCAGTAGTCTGCCTGTGAGCAGAAGTGGGCTTATGTCCTGTGAATTTAATCTTTTGACAAAATAGTCATCTTGAATCACAGAAATCATTGAAATCAGGAGGAGCTGAACCCAGTGATTAAAATGAGACCCCGTGGTAGTTTCTAAACTATAAGTTTGTGCCCAGCTCACAGGTTTTGAACATATCAAGATTCAGGAGTGGTTCAGTCAAATATTTTCTTTTAATTTATTAAAGAAGTAAGAGCTCTAGGTCAAATTTACTTCTAAAGTTGAATTTATATTTGGTCTACAAAGGATATGCTAGAGATTTTGTTTGCTGCTCCTGCTTTTTAATCCTTTCTCAGAAACTGTGTTAGCTAAAGCTTTTGCAAACTAAATTCCATTTTTAACTTAAACTCATTTTTATGTTAGTGTCTGTATACAGAGGCACATGTATATTTATATCACTACTTATTTCCTGCAGGACTCCTAACAGGGTCTCAAAATGTCAGATGCAAACACACAGCCTTATACATATTTTGGCTTTTTTCTGGGCTAATAAAAGCAGAAAGTCATAGAAACCTGTGTACTCAGTCTTTGAGACATCCAACAAAACTGTAATTGCTGAAGAGGGTCAGAGAGATGGAAAGACTGTCCCTGTTCCTGGATGCCTGTGTCCTGTGTAGTACTCCATACCTTTTGAAGTTTCCTGTCATTGCATACAGTTCTGGCTTGTTATGAATTGAGCTGCTGGATGCCTGCAATAAGAATAATGATGAAAATTATATTTCTCCCTTTCCATGGAGCTCAAACTTTGAAGACCTCTTAGAACCTAACAAATAAGAGAACTCAGGCTTGGAGCTTCAAAGGCAAAGAGTAAGCTAAAAGATGAAAAGATGTTCCAATCATCTATCTAATTCCCTACAGCCATAAACAAAGCATGAAACTGCAAGCCTGTATTTTCACCTTGAACAAAATGTCCCTTGCATAACACACCTCAGTGTAAGCTAGACTGTACTTCTGCTATCAAAAGTAAAAATAATACAACTTGTGGAGAGAGTGTTGCATCTCATTCCAGCATATTTATTATGATCATTATCACCTTGGGAAAAAAAATACTGTTAGCTGCAATTCTATGGACACTGTCTGTCCTCAGTCCCATGCACAGTAGAAAACAGCTGTGCATGTGTAATTGAGAAGATGTACACCACAGAGAGCAACACTGGGCTCTTCTATGCCTTTCCATCTCTGTGCAGCCAAGTACCCAAGGATAAAAATATTCACTGAAGTGCTGAATGAGAAGGGCAGCCCTTTGCACTCAGTGCATGGCCACTGCTGACTCCCCATGCAAGAAATGCAAAAGGGAACTGCACTCTTATTGAGGGTGCAGAAGTACAGCTGAAATCCAATTTTCTACAGCAATATCTCTATAGTCAGTGCTGGTGTACAAGTTGGGTAGAGCCTTGCTCAGTGCCCTCTGGTTGTTTGTTTAGGATTTTAAAAATTAAGTATTATATATTTTGGCTTGGAAATATGCAGTCTAATCAACCTGAAAAGTCAGAAGACTGACTTCATTTATTCTTAAGGACAGAAACAAATAGTGGAGTAAAATGTCCTGGAGGCATAACTTTTCAAGAAAAGTAGTATGTGGGGACACTCTCTCCTGTTCCTGATGCTTTCTCTATATCAATTGGATTTGAAAGGATCAACCAGGACACAGATGTACTCAGCAGAGAATGAGGAATATATTCTGATATCTAAGGAATGCCAAGGAGTTGCTTTAATACCGATTGCTTCCAGTACTGTCTAAGCTAGGACTTCTCTAAAATCAGAGGACACAAAGAAAGGCCTTCAGCATCAGCCCTTCTTGAGGCTGCATTTAGTTACGCTGCTCTTTTGATAGGCAAGGTGCATCTGGAAGACTTAAAAGACTTTTATGTAGATTTGTGTGGTTGATGAAAGCAAAGATGTGTTTTCCTGAATGCTCACTGATATTTTCATTGCCATTTTAGCCTGTCATGTTGTCTTGTAAATAGTTTGTGGGTCACTCTAAGTCTTGTGAATAAACACCACTGAGCTTGCAAGTTTTAGTCTTGAGAAGGCTCTGCCTGCAAGTGCTGTTAGAGAAGCTGCACTATCTTTTACAGCTGCATTTCTTATATCTGTTTCCAAGAGAATTTTCTTATTTGTTTGCTTATTTTTGGCTGCTCTGTGAAACACCTCCTACTACTACTACCCCAGAGAAATTTAAACCTCAGAAGAAAAGCACTAAAGCAACCTGATGTTGCCTACTACATAACTCTGAGAAAACACTCCATGTAGACACAACTCAGCTCCTTGTATCTCATATGTATTTTGTATTCTTGCATCCTCTGTTTCATTAAGAGGAGCGTTTAATGTGGAAATAGAATATTTGTTTACTCAGAGCTTCTCTGATCCCCCTTTTCATTCTTTCACCTGCATCACTCTAAGTGATGCCCTGACATTCACACTTGTGATGAAAGAGATGTAATGTCACTCTATGGAGGAAGATACCAGGTGGGAGATGAGCAGATGAACTCAAACCTTTAAAATGAGAGGTGGCTGGAGTTTTCTTGTCTTAAAAAAACCCCATCAAGCAGCAATATAAAACAAAAGGAGCAAAAAGGGATCTGTAATCTTCTACCTCATTAAAAGGTTGTAAGGACACATTTGTGCTGGGCAGGCTTTAGTGATGACCTACTAGGTAAAATGGACACCTATAATAATTGCTGTAATTTGGGTATCATCACATATCTGTTTGCATGAGTTAGGTATGTGGAAGTGGTATACTGAGGAAATTGTAATCCACTCAGAGTCAACCATGTATTAAGTGTTGGATGGAGACATGAAAGAATCCACTCTGCCTACAACACTAAGGCATGGCAGTTTTGCACTGTATCAAAAATTTTCATTTTTTAAAATTATTTCTCTGGCAGCTTCTTGAGATTTTGCTGTTAAATGTACTGTGACAGAAAAATGCATGAAAATTATCATGGTACTTAGTAATTCTGGAACTGTGCTCTATGAAAATACCCTAATTACTAGGAAGGAGTATTCTAAGCAATATTAGTTCAGCA